GCATATCTGTGGATGTTGAACAAAAACAAATGTGCCTGAACGAGAGTCTGCAATACGGATTGTCTAGCAGATAGATAGATAGATAGATAGATAGATAGATAGATAGATAGATAGATAGATTAGGTTATGTAGGATAGATATAGAAATTTGTGAGTCTTAAATTGTAGTGATCAGGGAAGACGGTTATACTCGAATACGCGTGGCCAACTATTATGTTCATTTATATTTATTTATTTGATTATATATATATTCATATTTTGCTGCCTTTAGTCGAGTACTATTATAGGTGTGATATAACATTTATACCTTCTACTTCTGTGTGTGTGTGTGCGTGTGTGTGTGCGTTTTTGTGTGTGCATGTATTCTGTTCATACATATATATATATATATTCTTTTCACACACACATATATATATATATATATATATATATATATATATATATATATATATGTATGTATGTATGTATGAGGGAATATGGTGGTTATTTTCAAAGAATAACATATGTGAATGATTGCTTTTTTGTTTTGATTTTTTTTTTTTTGTGAAAGGATTTTACAACAATCTTAACATTTCCTCCCGAATCCTGTGATAAGGTAGGAAGCAGAACGATGATCAGTAGCCATGAATGGCCAGACCAAGTGCCGTTTCTTTTTCATGACACGAATGAGGAAATGATTTTTAGATTGAGTGTATCTGAACTGGAAAGGAAAAATGAATAAGACAACAGGAAAAACTATTCTTAGCCGACGCGCTTAGTCCTCTGAGGTCGCCTTGATAAAGTCTCTCAGAGGACGAAACGCGTTGTCTAAGAATAGTTTTTCTTGTTGTCTTTTTATCCACACACACACACACACATATATATATATATATATATATATATATATATATATATATTACACAACAATATGGGTTAGATCTATTTCAGCCAACGCGAAGTGCCTCACTCTTATTCAACCCTGGTGTGTGGACTCTATTCGTGTCGGAATTAAACATTTAAAATTTAACTTTGACACCATTGTGCTCTTTTTGTGGATCAGATTTAATATCTGGTATTACTAGGATCCACTTGGATTATATGCCAACGGATTACAAATACTTTCATGGTAATTGCTCTGATGAGCTGCTTTCACTGGTTCCCAGACTCCATGAATTCAAGCGCCCTACGAGGCTGGCATTCCGCTCTCACCCTTACACTGTAGAAACTTTTAAATGTAGCCGTCTCTTCTACTCCAATAGCTTCATACCTCGCACCTCTCGCCTGTGGAACAGCCTTCCCTATTACTGTTTCCCTGAGAGCTATAATCTCCAACTATTCAAATGTAATGTCGGTCGATATCTCCAGTTACCTTGATCTATCCACTATCCCTCTCCTCATCCTTTTTTCTATCACTCCTACCTGCTCTCGCTCCAAATCTTCTGCGTCCCCCTGCATCCTGTGGCTTCACGCCTTGCTCGGGGCGTAATGCTAATATATATATATATATATATATATATATATATATATATATATATATATTAGGACCTTGAATAAGTTATCTCTGTTTTCCAACAGATACCGTTCACAGATGGTAAAGCATCTATAAGGAAGCAAGCTTGAAATTCTTTGTGATGTCATTTCGTCGAATTGTAAAAACTTTGTATTTCATAGCGTTAAACATGTTGGATTTCGTGCCAAAGAAAGTCAATTTGCTGGGAAATCTACTGCACTACTTTATTCAAAAGAATTATGCTGATGAAGCATGCGGAATTCTTGTTGAGACTTTCGCCGACCATGCTCTGTCGGAAAAAACATGCAGAGAATGATTTAGACGCTTCCAAAATAATGATTTTGATGTTGAAGATAAAGAACGCTCTGGCGCACCGAAAAAGTTATGGTGTTGAATGTAGAATTTACATTCAACACTATCACTTGAGAAGACACCAGTAGTGTTGAAACAAAATGGCTATTTTTGTAGTGATTTTATAACATATTTATGTTATAATTTTCGAATAAATAATTATATATATATATATATATATATATATATATATATATATGGGAGGTGTAAATATATAATATCGCATATTGAGTGCTGGATGTAATATAACAGAGCTATAAACTATATATTAATAAATATACATACAACAAGTGGTGGTTTCATGCACATGTTCAAGTGAAGATTCGAGCTGTACTACCGATGAGGAAAATATGTATATTTATTAATACATATGTATGTGTATGTGTGTGTGTGCGCGCGGGCGCCCGCGTGAATGTTGTTGTTTTCTTGATCATGTAAAAAGATCGTATGCAATCTTCCCAAGTGTTTACTGCCCTAATCGAATAACCTTCTCAGATTCAATCCCTATAATTAGAACTGGCACCTGTTCCTATAGCTGGTCTTATCTACCCACGAGCATGTAGCATGACAATAGGCAACAGTTTGAGTGCTTCCACACACACTGTGCCAACTGCAACAGCCTTAAATTTTGTAAATCTGCAGCAGACATCATTATCAAACTTAATAGACATAAAATATCTATACTTTTCAGTAAATCATCTTTAAATGAAAATTGCTGATTAATTACACTATATATATATATATATATATATATATATATATATATATATATATATATATATATATATAATTATAAATATAATAATAAATGATAATATAATATATATATATATATATAATTTAATATATATATATATAATTTAGAAAAAAGATTATCAAACTTAATAGACAAAATGTCTATACTTTTCAGTAAATCATCTTCAATGAAAATTGCTGATTAATTACACTATATATATATATATATATATATATATATATATATATATATATATATATAAAATAGGAAAGAACACGTTAGGTAAATAATCCGGAGTTCTTTACTATTTTTGTTTTTATTTTAAAAAAAAAAAACAATGCTCCATACAGAAATAGAGCTTAAATTATAATTATTTAAAAAAAAAAAACATATGATTCCTTCGCTCTCGTTCTTGAAACATGAGAACTCTTATGTAGCGAAGGAATCATATTTTTTTTAAATAATTACAATATATATATATATATATATATATATATATATATATATACTGACAGAAAATTCAAGAAAAAACGTACTAGTAATATAAATGGAATATATTCAATGTTCGCATATATACAGCTCAACACTTGCACAGTAAAGAATAAAATAAGGAATTGATTGCTGAACTGCTATATAATATCTAATCTCCTATGTGCCAATGGATGCTCGACAGTCTCTTCATGCCTTTCATAAATTAAGCCAAGTATTAAAAGATAGGAAAATGTCATTAGAAACCAAACGAATCGGTGTTGAACTGCTATGTAATATCTAATCTCCTACATAATAGTAAATGTTTTCCCACATATTTTTTTACTCATTTCACACCAAACAAGATAGAAAAGCCTCTAAGATGCAGATGGTTACTGAGTGTGTAAACATTTAATAAAAAGAAACGCTATTAAGGAGCAACAACATTAAACGAACAAAAATCAAGAAAACAGACGATAACGATTGATATTGCATTTAAATTTTTGAGGATCAATGTTAACCGGAAGCAAGAAGCCGGAAGAGATTTCCACAAGCGAGAAGTGTGAAATAAGAAACTGTTGGCATAGAACTTACGGTTACATCTAGATATTTCGATTGTAAATTGATGAGATCTTGGCGCCAATCTGTCAAGGCGTTTAAATCTCATAAAACCTAGGTACTATAGAAGAACGTTCATCAGAACAATTAGCATAAAAAGCATTTATAGAAAGGATATAGGGAAACTACATTACATTAGTGGGAAAGTGACTTAAGCCGAGATGCCAGGACAGGATCAGTGATATTTCAGATTCTTTGAATTTTATTAAGGGTATCTAAATATATAGCAGGATCACTAGACCACATATGGCAGCAATATTCAAAGCATGGACGAATGGTATACTTATAAATATGTAAGATAAATTCGAGCGAGAAAAATTGTCAGAATTACATGGACGGAGCGAATAAGTCTTAAGTAAAAAAAAAAAAAAAATATATATATATATATATATATATATATATATATATATATATATGAGAAACTAGGACTTGAAGAATTTGGCATTCACAGGACATATCAAAGAGAAGAGGTACAACAACAAAAAGTAATCCACCCATCTAATGAACTTATGTGATGTATGGTGGAACGTGGGTTGAGACTTAATGACAAACGTTACTAAGAGCTGGATTGGAGGTAGTGGAGAGTCATGATCTCCCACGTCCTGGCGAGACACGACACAAAGAAGAAGAAGAAGAAGAAGAATGGTATTATTCGCGCTTCCTTATAAGGAAATATTTGGCATCCATTGACCGTATAGACAATGCTTCTATTGGTAAATTTCATAACGAAAACAACAGCGGCGCAAAGGAAAAAGACTTGAACCAAACAACGCTGGGTATCCTTGCCAGTAAAGTATATCTTTTTCCCCTAAGACTGCAGCATACACTCCTTCCATATTGAAAGAGGCGTTAATTCAAAAACTTGACATGATTCAGTCGATAACGGGTTTAAGTAATTCTACCGGGAGGGTCACTCAGCACCAGAAATAGTATTTTGGCGATGAGTTCCTTGCTTTTCAACTTTACAGGTGACCAATATAATTCAATTAGAGACAATCGAGCACAATATGAGGCCGTATGATGAAGTGGAACTTCTCTCGGATTCTGTGAAAGATATTGTTCGACATTGGATTGGACAGGTGTGTCTTATCAATGACTACAATAGGTTCGCTTAAATTTATTCAACTACTCAAACTTTTACTCCAAAAAGCTTTCACTCCTCAGACTTTCTTCACGGAATTCACACAGCAATCTGAAGTCCATAAATAATAACACATATTGAACATTGGGTCAACTAGAATTGGGTCAAACAGTTGCTCTGTTTGTGATTTCCAGGAAGGCTTCAGTCTTCGAGTCTTTTGAGAAAATGATGGAGTCAATATTCAAAGAGTTCCAGCTTTACGCCCACATCACGTTGAAACACCAATTCCCGCACAATCACCGAAGTTAAGCAACGTCGAGCCTGGTCAGTACTTAGATGGGTGACTGATCGGAAATAACACGTGCTGCAAGGTCGGTTGTGCGGGAGGTGTAATGGATAATCACGAGGAATTGTTAATTTGGAGAACCGAGTTCCAATTCCCGTCGGGTTCATTATATTCACTTACGCGCATATACTCTTGGAAAAGGCATGAATCCATCTCTTCTCTCCCCAGCTATAAGTTAATTAGTAAAATTATCATATAAAAAACATTACAATCGAAAAATATTTTCTGGATTTAAATAACCTGCAAATGGTTGATAAGCTGTAGAAAATGTATCAAACAAAGAATTCCTTCCTTTTCTCTTTTATTTGTAAACATACTCAGAATAAGAATTAGAAAGAAAGCTGAAATTTATTGGAAAGATATTGAAGAAAGAGGGATTAGAGAATTTGACACTCACAAGGCATATCGATGGCAAAAGGGACAGAGATGTTATTGAATTGTCTACATACCGAGTTTGTGTAAATGAATAAAGGGAGGAGCCTAGGTAAAGTGACAAAAGTGACAAAGATTTGTAAGTTATTGGAGGTTGTAACGAACTATGATCGCCTACATCCTGAAGGGACAATTGCACTTAGAAGAAGAGAAAGGAGATTAGCACAAACACGAACATTTGGGACTTTCTTTATTGTAAAACAGTCCTCATCAAAATAACGGTTTATTGTAATTGTGAAAGTATTTCCGGTGACGTTCCGCTCAGGATGTTGGCGTAAACTATCTGAGAAATATTCCAAAATAGCAGTTTTACTCCAAAAATGTTTATAAAAAGATTCCCTGTACTTTTAATGGCCATATTAACCGTTTCCTTAAAAGGAAACATTCGGTATTTATTGAGCGAGCAGCCAGTACTACTTTCGGTTGGAATTTATAAAATCTTTTCATGAAAAGAATTTTTCTGGAAAATAAGTTTCTCATGTCCAGTAATTGTTTCTTTCCAGTTGGAAAGACAAGATAGAAGGTTATTTCCGTTATTTTCCTAACCTTTAGTTTTAAGACATATGTTATTATTTTCTCTTCGAGTTGCATATGCTATCCATTTTAGTTGTTTCTGTTATTGAAAGTCCTCATGTAATGAACTTTCAGCTATTTGGCACAGTTCTTTATTTGTGATTCTGTAGCGCCATTTCACGAGATTCTAGGAACTATAGTCTTCAATAACACCTATAATCTTCTTTCGCTAGAAACTTTTTTTAACGATTGATCTTAAAAAGCAGTTATATACAGCAAAGAGTTTAGAGATTTCTGAACATGTTTGTATGACAAACATAAAAAATTTCGATGAGGTTATTTAACAACATGACTCGGGATTTTGAATTAATATTTTGGTTTTTGTAGCAATTTGCAGTAAATCTGGGAAATTTGCGTTGTTTGAATTTCACGGATGGATTAATGTCACCATTCCATTAATTAATCGGACAAATATCCTAATCTTTGATTCGACCGATGATTTCGCTGACCATCTTTGTAGTGTCTTAGTTTCTGAACTGTCGCATTTTCATTATTAAAAGAAATTGGCGAAATGTAAGTTTCACTCGTGCAGCTTCTTCACACGATCTGCTGCTTTGTGAAACCGACACCCAAGAGGATGCTTCCTCGATCACTAAAGTCTTAACTTGTTCAAGTCTAGGGTCAACCATTATCTTCCTCACATATCCGCATAAACTGCGCCCCTTATCCTGTAACCCTCTACCTCGAGTGACTCTTGAGCCTTATACAGGGTGAACATTATTGTAAAAACAATATTCAGAATAATATCCTCACATTTGTTACTTTGATGTTTCGACGTACGCTTTATCTAACCTTCGGCAGGTGTATGCCATAGCTCATAAACTTGAATTCTCTTTCTCTTGCTGATCGAGCGACATAAAGTCGTCTGATCTGGGTTTTTTTTGTTTTTTTTTTCTTCTTTTTTTTTTTTTAGCTCCATGTCAAAACGACTGTGCGTTGCTAAAAGGTTTCGCTGAACGCTCGTGATTAACCTTCTATCTTGTCTTTCCAAGTGTATGCCATTTATTTTTATTTAATTCCCTTTTCCCCCACTCCCTCCCGAGAGAAAAGCACTACCACCCATCTCATTTTTCTTTGTCACACGAATCAGACAAGATGCTGAGGGATGATGAGAAGTAAAGTTTCAATAATGTCGGAGCTGGTGCAGGGATGCAGAAGCGACGATCGATCCCTCGATGTCTCTTCCCGACTCTGCAAACCCCCGGCTTTTGACCCAGTTGTCTCTCGAGTCTTTCAGACGAACCGGTCTAGTCAGCCAGTTATAGGGCCAGCGGGATAGTGACGGATAGGTGATGTGCAGTAGTAATACTCTGCATAATACATAATAAAGGCAGATAAAATTATTTACGAGCAGGCGCAGAAGATCTCGGACCAACACACTTCCCAAAATCGATATTTAAGTTTTCGGTTATTAAAATAAAGATCTTGGGAAATGTGGCATACCGTGAACTTTTCAGCACCCCTTACTAGGTGTGAGAATATGGAGAGAATATTGTAGAGGATCTGCTTGTCTTGAAAATCAGTATTCGAAATCCTGTTTTAAATTAACTAATCATGGTGTGAAAAACGTAAGCTTCTCAGCTACAGACCATAGCATTTAAGTGATTTGATATTTATATTTAAATACTGTATTTCCTCTTACATAATACGCAGCTTCTTATAACACACACCTCTAATTTTTTTAAACAATATTTAGGAATAATTAAAATTCTAATTATTGTTTTTTTTTTAATATTTTTGCATAATTTAATCATTTATAAATATTTAACTCTGGGATGGGTGCTTCATGCTTTCAACCTTGTGTCACATCTAAACTACACTCAGTAAATCGCCAGATTTAACTCTGAGGTCAACAAGGGTGTTTAGTTTTTAGTCTAATAACAGTTACATCGACAAGATGCAGGTAGTTTTTTTGTGGGGCTGGCTAAGTGATTAATGGCTTTTTTATTTATAATCTCACATTTTTCTGATTATTTTAAACATGATGATGATGATGATGATGATGATGCTTACCGTGACTAAGCGGATTAAAGTACACTTGGCCAGGCGGTATAAATAAAACATGTTTGAACCCTGTCAGAAGACACAATCTCTTTATTAAGACTCTCGAATGCACTGTCCGGTAGACATAAATTTGCACTGTTTAAAACAGAAACAGGGTTGTCTACTCAAACACATACATCTACTAAATATAACGTTTAACATAATAAATTGCTTTTTCTCGTTTTGTTTTTTGTTTTGTTTTTGTTTTGTTTGTTTGTTTTTTTATCTATTAAACTCTGCCTTATATCACAGAAAATGTGGCAAGAAGACCAATCAACAAACAGCAATAAACAAAGCAACAATAATGACGTTGTCGGCGTTTGTAGCAGTAGTAGTAGTCGACGAACAAAGAAATTTATTAGAGTTACAACCAATTGTCACGATACAAGACAAACGTGACTCATGTCATTGTTGAAATAGTTACTCATCTCCCACTGGGGCTACAGATCAATGTTCAAGCCTAGTTAGAAAAAAATAATTTCAGCTGTTTATTTTTAAGACAAATCAGTCTTTCCAATTTGAAAGATATATTCTTATTTGCCAAATATTGTACGTATCAATGGCGGACACGGTTTAAAATATTGGTTGCCAGGAGACAAAGGAATCCCACCCACAACTGCAAATATCATTTTATTATAATAACGAAGACATACATTTTTCAAAAAGTAGATATGGAAAAAAAAGAATACAATTATATTTTTTATGGAAAAATATGTATTTCTTAGTAGCTACAATGTAATTAGTGTAGATATTAGTGATAGTAGATATACGTGTAAATACAGAATCGTATCATTTTTTAATTTTTTTAATTTTAAGTAATTGGTTGATATTTTTAAATAGTTTACTCCTAAATTTACACAAAACATTTCATGCAGTCCACGATATTCAGAACAATCGTTTGCGTCTAAGAGATGATGGTTCGAATCTGTTAATAGTTGCTTTTGCATCCAATGTCTTTTCAGTGGACAGAAACATGCATGACTACAAATTCTCCTTAAAGAGAGAATTTCTTAACCCTGTTTTTAATGGTGATTTTCTAAGCGTCGCTTAGACGGGGGAGCAAGACCGAAAGTATGAAACACTGAATGAGGACGATCTCACTACGCAGTTGTAATTAATCTAGCGAGACAAGCGTGCTAACCATTACACAACGTTGACGTTTCCCTTAACTTTGTCTTTATGGTCTATAGTTTTGTAAAATGCCTTCTCACATTGGATTTGAGAAATTGGTAGTGTGCAGATGATTTTAAAATGTACTAATTCCTTTTTTATTAGTAAAACTAATATACCCGTACTGTAAAAAATTACGGCAGTTGTTAAAAACTTTTAATAGTGAGATGCAATGAAACAAAAAAAAACCCCGGAAACAAAAGACTTAAAACAATCTATTGTGGTTCAGTAAAGCAGAAATAAATAATTTACAACTAAAATAGAGGCCAATGAACAGTTTAACTAATCCACTCTCTTTATATTTTGTCAACTTTCAATGGTATCCAGGATTTATTAATTACTCCAGGTATTATATAAATCGCTTTTTGCTCAGTATCTTTTCATGTTAAATATTGTATGTGTTGAATATAACAGTGAAATTGAAATATCTCTCGGAAGAAAAAAATTAGCTACAGAAGGACATAGGCTATTTCAAGATCAAGTTAAAGCAGGACGACAAAGGTATCTGAGTACCTCACATGAAAAGGCTGAACAATTAGGACTACAATCTAAGTAAGGTAGAAGTAAAGGAACTGACTAATTAAACGGTTCATTTTGCTCGGGAACTAATTTTCTCTAAATGCAGACAGATATATTTTATTTGTATAGATTATTAAAACGACTAAGGGAAGTAATCATTCATAAATTTACTAACATAAGTTGATTTGCCTCCCTTTCCAAGACAGGAAATATATAAATAAATACACATTGATAATTATTATATGGTTTGATATTTGTCTGTGTTTGTTTCTTTATAACACTTTTATT